TCCCTGCCCGCCGGCGCATCCTGGTTCCCCGCCCAAGCCCGGCGTCCCCCTGCGCGTCCCGCCCCGGGCGAGGTGTCCGGGCCGCGGTCTGCGCTCTGGGCCGCCTGCGCTGCCCCGCCCTGCAGGTCGCGAGGTGGGGAGGCGGTGTCCGGAAGGACCTGTGCGGGCGGGGGTCGGCGGGCTTCCTGCTGCTCTGAGCCGCCTGGCGACTCGGAGGCCCTCCGCCAGGGGCCGGGGTTTCCTTCTCTCCCGTGTAACGGAGGTGACTGTTGCTCTCTGAGGACTTACTCCTTTCTTGGTCGTGACAGATGAGGACCAGCGGGTGTCCCCTGAAAGATTTGCTGGTAGTCACAATAATTGAAGCTTGTTTTATTTTGTCCCTACCCCTTTGCGAGAGTGAGCTTTTCTATGTAGGGTCATATGGCAGGAAGTTTTAGAAAAGTTAAGCAAATAACAAGAGTTATAATGTCGATTATTACGTTTTTACTCCGAGCAGTTGTCAACATGTTTATGAAGTATAGAAACGAGTCAAGCAGGCTTCATTGTTTTCCTCCTTGCTCCCTAATTTTTTCTTAGCAATGAATTGGTATCATAATTTCAGACTGGGAAATAGTGTGTTTTTTTTGTTGTTGTTTGTTTGTTTTTTTCCCCCGGTACTGGGAATCAAACTCACCACCTTGAGCTTGCCAGGCCGGCGCTGTGCCGTTGAGCTAAGTCCCCAGCCTCAGGAAATAGTGCTTTTTCAAAAAGATAAATGATGCTCCCGTTAGACTTGATGTAAACTTCTGTGTGACGTGGCTGCGGTGACTTTCAGAGAGTCATTTTCTCTAGTGGAGAATGGGGCTTGAAGAATGCTCCCTATTTCCAGCTAGGCGACGTGTGGGAAGTGAGGCATCGAATGTAGGACACAGATGGCCAACAAACAAAAGTTAGAAAGCAGGAACACCCAAAACCAAAAGGAATGGAAGAGATAGCACCTTGTGATGACAGATAACAGTTGGGGTGAGGATACGAGGGACTTTGGGAACTTTAAAAAGTCTGCCCACACGAGTTACATATGTGAGACAAGAGTACTTCGGAGAATCAGAGTAACTGTTAGTATAGCTTTTAGCTAGGGGCAATAGAAAACAGGAAATTAGAGTAACCAAGATGAGAAAAAACAAGAACAGAGGGGGTGTACTTGTTTTTGTTTTTTTGAGACGGGGTCTCTTTATGTAGTTCAGGCTAGCCCAGAACTCACTATGTAGCCTAGGCTGGTCTTGAATTCCCTGTGATCCTCCTGAGTGCAGGGATTACAGGCCTGGGTCACCGCACCTGACCAGAGGTATACTTAGAAAAGCAAAAGAACTTTAACTGGACATCTTGTGTTTATAGTAAATCAAATACTTTTAGAAAGTAGCTAAAAACAACAGGTAAAATTACTAAAAAAACAATGTAAGAAAAAAAATAGAAAAACAATGTAAGCCTGAAACTTTTGGCAAGAGAGTAGTGTGACTTTCACAAGTACTTGATTATTGAGCAATTGGGTGATAACTAGATATGCTTGTAAAAAACAGTCTGTGTCAAACATAGGCTGTATTCACATAGTAAATTAAATGCAGTCATCTTGCCATTTTTAAGAGCTAATTATTTTTAGTGAAATTAAAAGGTGATTAGACAGTGTCTTCATGGATTTTTTTAATCTCCTGGACTTAAACTTATGAACCATAATATTACTTTTATAAAAGAGTATATATTTTCTCCAGAAATTTTCACTTTGTTAGTCTGAATTTGTGTTTGAGCTTGTAACCCAAACACACATACTTAAGTACACCTATATTGCTTAGAAAGCTTTCTGAAGGATTCTCATGAAACTTGCGGGTGATCATATCCAGGGTTTCAGAAAGATTTGTGGGGGGTGTCTTTTTTTGTTTTATGTTTGAATCTGCATGATTTGTTATCATAATAAAACCAGTAAACTGCATAGTCTAGCCTTGTGCCTGAAGTTCTGCCACTGGAGTTGGCAGGGACCACGTCAACAATAAAAACCCTTGCTTAAGAGAAGTTTAAGATTTCAGTATTACGAAGACTTTGATTTTTACTGTAGGTTTTTGAGGTTTCAGAATTTTGGGCTGCTGTCTTGCTTTGAAGAAGATATATTTGTATACCCCAAAACTGCATGTTTCTGTAGTATTGGTGGCTGACTGAGTGGAGTGGAAGTATGAGAAACCAGCAATGAATGGAGTACTTTGGATGTATTCTCTGACAGCTTTTCCCCATTTTGTTTAATAAAAATTTAGGCATGATATAATTAAAGAAAAAATTAGAAATGACATAATTAAAGAATATTAATACTTTGAGAAGAAATATATGTGGTTCCTGAATTGAGACTGTTAGGGTATGAAAAAATGGCTCTCATTTAACATGTGGTAATTCTTTAAGAGTGTGGGCCTGCAGCTTTAATGTCAGCAGTGTTTTACTCATTCTTCCACTGTTCTTTCTGTCAACAGAGAAAAGGCCTGGCAGGCTTGGTGGGTTCGTGATGAAGCATTTTGTTGTATAAATATCTCCCTTTTATTAGTGGGGCTCTGGAAAGTTAGACTCTGAAGAATTTTTTTGAAGAGTTTCTGTAGAAATGAATAAACTCATTGCTATTTTTATTTATTTGAAAAATTAGAACTTAGCAGGATAAGCTGTGACTTTTTCCTGCTTTTACTGTTGTCCATATTGCTGATGTTGTGGCTACAAATGTATAGAAATCCAAACCTGTCGTGTGTGGTATTGCTCAACTTGTTTGACAGTTGGTCTTTTATTACTTAAATATTTGGACTATTGAGAATTAAAACCAAGTTAGTTTTTTGGATACTATTGCACACAAACTTCCTTTGGAGAAAATGTCTTCTCGTTGTTTTTCTGAGACGTTCAGAAAATTTAAGTATAGCCAAAATGCAATACATTTAGTCTAAAAACAAAATTAAAAAAAAAAAAAAAGAATGTGCTATGGCCTCACGTAAAGAAAGGACAAATATTTGCCTTTTCTTTCAGTGTCAATTGTTGACTTAATGCTTTCACAAAATTTTGTGAAGATTTTTAAAATAGTTGTCTGATTGAGAATTCAGAATTGTTTTTAACAGAGTACTACCTTAGCCTTTACATCCCAGAGTGAGTCTGGGTTTGAAAAGCTTCCATGGGCTTGTAGGTGCTGCTGGGCTCCCCGATGGCTGATACAAAGGGGAAAGGACTATGACAGTCACGTTGCTTTGTGTTGTGTGGTCTGAATGTCTCAGTGAGTTAGTACGTGACGCTCCAAGTTTGCTAAAAATAAAGCAGTAAATACCTGGGATTTTGTTGTTCAAAATAAAGAAAAAAGATTTAAGATATAAATACATTACTAAGGCATATGTGTGTACTTTAAAACATATATTTATAAATACAAATCTCAATCCTATGAGGAACTATTTACAGAAAAGTGATGTAATTTAGTGTTGTCATTAGGTCTAATGAAACTGATCTTCTCTGAGTTCATGATTTCTACATTGGTCAGAGCATTTAACCACTGCATTGTATAAATGAGTAACTTGAATAGTATCATGTGAATTATATCTTAATAGAGCTGTTAAAAATACAGACTTTGAATTTCTTTCAAAAGTAAAAGAGTGAAAAGGTAGTAAGTGCAACACTGATACAATGTTGGCTAGAACAGGTTTTCATATACATATATATAAAATTTTTATTTACGTTTATATGTGTATGTAAATATTCCTGCTGCTGGTGATTGTACTCAGGGGTGCTTCCAGCCCCCATATCCACTTCTAATCCCATAACTACAGAAACCCATGCTTTAGAGATAGAAGCAACTTGAATCTGTGTTTTCAGTTATTTTAAACTTTTAACTCTGATTCGAGGTATTGGTGTTAATTCTTAGATTTGAGGCATTTAGCCTATAGGTTGGCTTGTTTTATATGAGATAGTCTATTAGTATTCTCTGTGATTTTAGAATGTACTGTCAGTGGTCTTTTGCATTTTGTTATGCCTTGTCAGATCATTGTCTTTTTCAGTTTCCATGGCAGTTCTGTCTCAGAGGAATTTTATTAAAGTCTGAGAATAGTTCTGACAGAGTTTAAGAGCTCATCCTGTCCTCACATTTAGACTCTTATCAGGGGAGATGAGACATACTTGTGAGGCAAGATGTGATTGCCCCAGAGTGTTATGTGGTTTGAAGAAAGGGTCAGGAGGGCTTAGGTAAGGGATGCATAAATTTACACACACAAAATTCAGCGGACAGCAGCATAATCATGGCATGTTCTGTGAAACAGGAGCCGCAGAGCTCAGGAAGGCAATAGTGTGTGGAGGACAATAGGAGGTGGTTTTCTGGAACTCTGTGGAAGGTCTTTGTGGATGTATTCCATCACATGGTAGAAGGTGGAACTGAGCAGGGTCTAGCAGTGAGGAGCAGAAGTGCTCCTACTGATGCCACCCAGGCCTCCCTGGTGAGGAGCAGAGGTACTCTCATGGACCCCGCCCAGGGTCCCCATGCATTCTCCAAATTCACAAGCAGTCATTACCTGAGTGTAAGTACCTGACAGTCCTTAGAAACAGTGTTTAGACATGGGAACAGGTGAAAGTGTAATGTATTCTGTTCTAAGCTTGTGAAGCCAGTAAAGGCAACCTACTCTGTAATGTAATGTAATATTCTCTTGCTGTGTCTACCAAAAAGCTTACAGGCAAAATTAGCTGGATTGTTGTACTCTGTACCACTCTGCTGGGAGTCCCCTGCCACCTTCACTTAGATAGCTGTCACTCTCAGTGATCTCGCTGTGCCTTAAAGTCCGAGTACCTCTTGTTCTTTGGAATTGGGTGGGGCATAACTCTGACTGAAGGAGTTAATATGTCCCTAGTTGTCTTTTGCACAAGATCATCTTTTCCCTTAAACATGTTTTATTTACAGAGGTTTTTCTCATGACTTTTCTCGTCACTAGTTTTTCTTCTATTTTTCTTAGCAAGTCTTTCATTTCAGTGAATTTTTCCTAAAATACATTTTAAGAAACTCAATCAATGAACTCATGTGTTGAGACTAAAAATGGGTGTTTATGGATTAATTTATTCACTCAGCCAACATTACTAGATGTATACCATGTTCCAGTATTATACCAGGTGCTAGTAACACAAATAGGAGTAAGAGAAGGCCTTAAACTCAGCAAATTTACTAGCTGATAATAAAACAAATCTGTATAGATTTGTAGATAGTCTTAATAGTAGGCATTGGTAATTTGGTTTTTTTGG